CTTTAGGAGCAACCTGATCTACAAGAGCCCACAGGTGGAGCTTTTCGCAGACACTATCAGTGGCTATCTCCATGCTGAGCAAGCCTTCATCTGCCAGACACGCTGCTATTAAAGGCTCAAGAGTAGAAGCAATAAGGGGGGGGGGGAGGATTCTGTCTTTGGGTCAGGATTACCTTGCTTGAGGCATATGACACAAAATTCCTCTCCCCGAAGACACCAGAAATACTTGCTATGTTGATGATGTTTCCTTTCGTTTCCCGCAAGTAGGGCAGTGCATACTGTACACAAAGGAGAAATAGAAACAGTCTGCCAGATCTCAAAATAGAAGCTTATGAAGCTGCCCTAGCTTAGAATCGTCCATTGGCAGAGATGCTTCCCAGCACAGCTAGCAGGAATCCTTGCAACTGGAGACTGCGGGGATAAACCCTTTGGGTGCAACCCTGGCCCCCAGCCATGGCCCATCCCCATTGTTTTGATTTGATCAGCAGAGAACTGATGGACACAGGGATAGCAGCACTACACCTCAGGGTACCATTCCAGCATTCCAGGTTCTTCCACTGGACTTTCAACTCCGCAGGATGTCATCTCCCCTCAGGGAAGAGGGAAACTCCTTAGAAGTTAGAAACACTCACCTTGGATGCTAACAAACAGCTCACAGTGTTGATTTCCATGAGGTTGAGGAAGTCCTGGGCACTCACGTCATCTATCGTTTCTTTATAAGCTGTTTGCAAGAGGATTTAAAATGGAAGTGGGTTTAAGATGGGGGACGGGATAAAGCCCCCATTATTTCAGTTTCTTTTCCAATCAGACATTTAGTCCATGCACTTTGAAAGAAATATGCAGGTCTAAGATCTAAAATATCTTTTGAATTACTGTTCTCTATTGCATGGTTGTATTCTTGGCTAGTTAATATGGACAGTAGTCCATTGAGCTATACTAGGAAATGGGGGAAGGATTTGCAAATTACGACCACAGAAGAGGAATGGGGTTGGCTTTGGGAAACAGCTGATACTAGACTACTGGAAACGAGTCTGAAAGAAAACATGTATAAATTACTTCTCCAATGGTACCTAACTCCCCATAAATTAGCCCTTATAGATGGTATGACAGAGGATACGTGCTGGAGATGTAACCAGTATTTCTTTGTAAACAGCCACCTGAGAAGTTATACTTTTTCGAACCCTTTATAGGACAAAATCCATTCTGGCTTTTGAATAAACAGGAAATAACCTCCCATCCAGACACAAATAACCCAGTGATTCCTCCTAGGCCCCAAAAGTCTGGACGTCACTCACCTTGTCCAGCGTTGTTCACCAGGCAGTCCAGGCATCCGTAACGTTCTACAGTGACCCGAATCAACCTCTGCAGCAGGAACTAAGAGGAACTCCATGGAACCTGATTTACTAAATATTGGATATTACTCATTTCTTTTTGGATTGAAAAAATATTTGATAAGATACACCCATTTGCTCATTACCATTTCTTGTAAAATTACTGGGGAATTTGTGCGTGTGTGTGTGTGAGTATATATACTGAAAGTATGTTGTAT